TTTTCCAAGGCATAAGCTATGTCATTGAGACTACTCATCAGCAACGTAAGTCTCTTCTTCAGCATCACTTATGAAAGCAAAGCAGGCAGCCGCACAACAAGGAGATGTGGAGTTTACTATGAGGACCTCTTTAAAACACAGCTCTGCTCTTAGTCTCCCCTGCCCAGCTGTGGCACCAATATGTGGCCTCTCCCTGAGTCCCTACCCTGGGGCTCTAGTTAACTACTGGAGAGCAGATGAAAGGATCAGATACCCAGCTGTGCACAGTGCCTCAGGTCACGAAGTGCCAGAGGGCCCCCAACAACGTTTTGCTGATGCATGAGGTGTAACTCTGGCCATGGGAAGTGGAAGGAGGAAGTCAACTGAGTCAATGGCTGATGCACACAACTGAAAGTTCAGCCTAGGATGCGCTTGAGAGACAGTGTGACTGTGGCAAGGCAGGATCTGAAACACCTTCTGCTGTATCCTTGCCTATAGGCCAGACTAAAGCCACTGTACTTGTCTTCTGCATCAGTCAAACAGGAAAGCAGAGTTTAATTAGTTTTGATTAATAAGTCTTTCTAAATGCAGAAAGATTAGGTGAGCCCAAGGAATCTTGCAAAAATAGCAATTTCAGAAAAATGCAGCAGGAAGCAACAGGTCATGGGGAGTGGATGGGAAGAAAGGTAGGAAGACTTTACAGAAAGGACTCCAGTTTCTCCAGAGCAATGGTGGAGAAATAGGCTGTGTACTGGGAGAATAGCCATACACATTAACACTGTACGTTTAACCCCAAGAGGTCCCAAGAGATCTAAAATAAGCAAAGCTCACAAGGTCCCCATGAATGAATGGCCAGTGACAGTGCAAGCTGGTGCAGTACAGGGAATGGACACTCGCTGTGGCCAACCGAGATCTCTGGTGACACTCACTTCGTGTGACCATTCACTCTGGTACAGATGGCTTGTGCCAGGACTGCAACCAGCTCCTCCAGAGAGTAAGAGGGACAACTCCTCCCTTCACATCTTATGCTTTCTAGAATGTAAAATCATACATAGGCTTTAAGATTATATGGCAGAACTGTTTTCAACCATATGCATGACCACTACATGGCACCAGGGAACACTGATCTTTTCAGAACAGTGTAACAGCGAAGTGCTGTTACAACATAGATAACAATAATAAAAGTAACAACAGTACAATGGCACCTGCACCAGCACACTACACTGAAACAAACTGCAATGACCTGAACACTGAAGAACACTAAATAGTTCTCTCATCACTCTTATCACAGATATCCCTACTGAGCGTGGGTTGTTTTTGTTCCATATTTCATCTCCAGCAACATACAACGAAGTTGCAAATGGCATTACTGAGCATGCCAAAATGCCCATGCAGTAAAGATAACACCGAAATTGTGATATAAATCTATTTTCAGCTTTCATCTGAATATTCAGGATGTCTCCTCTTATCTCTGTTCTATATTATTTTTATATTGCGAAAGATGACAAATACTGAATGGCAAGAGCAATCAGGCTCTGGAAATTGCCTCCTGGGACACAACTATACGTTCTCAGAGGTGTTTTATTTTTTTCTTTTTTTTCTTTTACCTTTTATTTTTATGATTAGTCAGTCACTGTTTAGCCACCTCAGGGAAATGCAAGGTGAATTAGGAGAAAGAAGGTCAAGGTTATCATGGAAAAGTTTAATCCCTCCTCAGTGGGAACCGGTTAATAGTTACGGCTAGACCTCTGTTGGGAATCCCAGTGAAGGTCAACGGCAGAGAGGAAAAAAGCTGCACTGAGATCTTAGACAGTCATAAGTAGACAGATGTTCCTCAGCTTTAATGAGCAGTCTTGGCTCCAGGCCTTTCTTGGCAGAGCCCTTTGGTTTTAGTATTTTTCCTTGTAGTGCAAGGTATGGCTCTGGTTAGCTGGCTCTGCTTAGCTAACTGCTGATGATTTTTCCATCTAAATAATAGCTTGACAATGAAGAAACCAGTTCATAATCTGTGACTTGATGGATTAGGTCATGGGGAATGATGTGCAGTTGTAATCATGAAAAGTAAAAATAAATAAAAATAGTAATTTTAGTTTAAATGAGAACCAGTTTTAAAAGTTTAAACAGCAAATCTGATGGAGCTCCTACTGCAAGTTCTACCACTCCATCTTACGTTTTTATGGTTATGGACAATAAACTGAAGGAAAAGAACATGAAATGGTCGTTTTCTTTACCATTTCTATTTCCAAGTCAGCTTGGTGGGGATCATGTCCCTACTTTAGAAACTCAGTTGGGTTCA